GCGGTTCATTTCCCGTGTTTGTTACAAGTACTGATACTTATTTTTCTGTTAGAGGAGGCCTCAGCTCTCTTAAAATGCTTCACTGTAATATCAGAAGTAGCAAGGGAGTATTAAGTTACACTGCTGTTATTAATGAACATGGAGAGTGTAAAGAATTTTGAATTTGATTTCTTGGGACAAAAAAAGCTTTGTTCGATCTTTTTTAGTTTAACTGTTTATATGAAAGTTACTGATTTTTAAGTCTTATATATTGATTACAAAAGTGTGATTCCTCCCCCATCAACTGTGAATTTAGAGCCCTTTTGCATGACTTGTGTTCCTCCAACCAGTACAAGTCTGAAACATCTGAAAGCTTATTTAGTTGGTTTGGGCGGCTACTAGATCAGATTAGCATGGTATTGCTACTCCCGAAGAGATTTAAATCTCATCCTGGGATTAATCACATTGGAAAGTGGTGCAGTCACATCTTACAGTTGAATTTCCTTCAGAGTTTAATCCTGGGTTTTCGGCATGCTTCCTTCAGATGACCCAGTCCTGTGGCTTTAATAACCATCTGAAAGTTGGCAACTCCCGAGTTTAAGTCTCTAGCCCAGCCTTCTCTCCTCTGTGTTTAAGAATCACACAAAATGCCTATTTAACCAGCTCCATTTGGATGTCTCTTAGACATCCCAAACCTGACATAAGAAAAAGAAAATTTTGGGTTTTCCCATCATCCCAAACCTGGTCTTCCCTACATTACTAAGTGGTACTCTCATCCACATGCTTACCAAAGCCAGACCTCTGAAAATCATCTTGGATTCTTTTTTACTATCCACACCCCCCTCACCACCCCCCACCAAGTCTTTCATTAAGTCCTGTCATTTCTACCTCCAAAATATATTTCAAATCTCTCTTCTATTCTCCATCTCCACTGCTGCTACCCTGTTCCAAGCCACCAGCATCTTTTGCCCAAGCTACCACAATAGTATCTTCAGTTTTCTCTGCTTCCACCCAGAACCCCTCCTAGTCCATTTTCCACATTAGCAGGATCAGGTCAGGTCAGATCATGTCATTTCCTTTTCCAGTGGCTTTCCGTGGCCTTCGCAGCCTGACTTGAGCAGGCCCCTTCTCCCTCTCGCATTCTGCTGCCTTCACCATTCTTTGGTCACACTGGCCATAGGACGTTGCCTACCATATGCCAAGTTCTTGCCCACCTTTTCAGCCAGGAACCTCCTCCCCTGGCTCTGCATACCACAGCCTGCCCATTCTTGACCTCTTGGCCTAAACTAACCCTCTCAAAGGTGAGGGTGTTTACTTCCTTCCTAGCACTTACAGCAAGCTTTATTTTATTTGTTTGTGGTTTGTCTCCTAGCAAACTACAGAATACAGGTATCCTAGGGGCAGGGAGTTTGTCTTGTATGTGCCTGGCGTGTAGTAGGCACTCATTAAATAAATATTTATTTAATTAACAAGTAAATTACTAAGTCAGTTCTTGGTTTAAAACCCTGTAGGGGCTTCCCAGCACCTTTCAGATAGAATCCAAAATCCTTAAGTTGTCCTATCAAGATCCTTGTGGCCTCATCTCTAACTCATCATGAACCCTCTCTCCAGTCAAACTTGACCATCACTGTTCCTGCTACAGCATATTCTGGGCCTTGCGCTGGGAGCACTTTTCTCCAACAACACCACTTCTCGAACCATCTCCAAAGAAGCCAGCTCCTCCACTTAGTTAATTCTGCCTCACTATTTAAGGTCTTTATTTAAAGTCACTTTCTCAAAACCAGGTTAGAATCCTCTATTACAGGCTCCCATGGTACCTTTGCCATCAATTTTTTTTTCTTTAACATTTATTTAATAATTTATTTTATTTTTGGCTGCGTTGGGACTTTGTTGCTGTGCGCGGGCTTTTCCCTAGTTGCGGCAAGCGCAGCCTTCTCATTGTGTTGGCTCATAGTGTTGGCTCCTCGTGTTGCAGAGCATGGGCTCTAGGCGCGCACGGGCTCAGTAGCTGTGGCTCGGGGGCTCTAGAGCGCAGGCTCAGTAGTTGTGGCGCACAGGCTTAATTGCTCCATGGTATGTGGGATCTTCCTGGACCAGGGCTTGAACCCGTGTCCCCTGCATTGGCAGGTGGATTCTTAACCACTGCATCAGGGAAGCCCATGCCATCAATTCTTTAAAGACCTTCTGTACTTCTAGATCAGGGGTTACTAAACTAAGAAATTAGGCCACTCCCATTCATTTACATACTGTTTATGTCTGTTTTTGTACTACAATGGCAGATCAGCCCCTCTGTGCTAGAGCAGGAACTGTCTGCTCCCCCAGTGTGTGTTGCACAAGGCTCAGTAACTGTTGCAGGGATACTGAATCTGGTTACATATTTTAGTTGTTCCTGCACCTCGTTTGCCCTTTCCTTGTCCCCCAATGAAACATGGAAAGAAAAGAAAAAACTAATTTTTTTTTTTTTTTTAGAAATTTTTTCTCTGGAGAAGATTTTTTTTTTTTTTGGAATTTTGCCTTTTTAAAAAAAAATTAATTAATTAATTTATTTATTTATTTATGGCTGTGTTGGCTCTTCATTTCTGTGTGAGGGCTTTCTCTAGTTGCGGCAAGCAGGGGGCCATTCTTCATCGCGGTGCACCGACCTCTCACTATCGCAGCCTCTCATTGCAGAGCACAGGCTCCAGACACACAGGCTCAGTAATTGTGGCTCACGGGGCTAGTTGCTCCTCGGCATGTGGGATCCTCCCAGACCAGGGCTCGAACCTGTGTCCCCTGCATTGGCAGGCAGATTCTCAACCACTGTGCTACCAGGGAAGCCCCGAAAAAACTAATATTTTTAAATTACTTATTATGTTAACCATTAACAATAGTGCTTTTTATGCCCAGGCGTTGAGAGGATTCTTGAAAAGATTCTAAGACTGTTATTTCTTATAAATACGGTGTGCATGTTAAAATGGTTATAGATATAATTAACATTTTCTGTATTCTAACATCTTGACTTGATGTGATTAGGATTTTTCATAACAGAGTTCTGAATCCCAAATTTAAAAGAACTTGTCTTGAGTGGACTCTGAATACTTTTGTTTATTAAACTCTTAGGTTTTTGTATTCCAAGTTGGGTAGTCATTTGTGAACACCTTTGGAGTAGTCCTAGGCTCTTGCTCATCAAATACAGAATGTCTTATAGTTTAAACTCCACACCAGACTTCTAGGGCTGTTCTCCAGATCACTAGGCCCTGTCAGACCTCTAAGCCTTTGCTCATGTTCGGGCTTCAGTAGTTGTGGCGCACGGGCTTAGTTGCTCCACGGCACGTGGGATCTTCCCGGACCAGGGCTTGAACCTGTGTCCCCTGCATTGGCAGGCGGATTCTTAACCACTGCACCACCAGGGAAGCCCCTGTCATAACTTTATTTACAAGTTTTTTGTGAGATGAATATGAACACTAGGGTCAAAAGCATGTTTTACTTATTTTTATATACCCAAGTCCCAGCACAGAGCTTTACCCTAAAAATACAAAACTGTAAACGTTAATTGAAGCTGCCAGTGGAGGGAATTAACAGACATCTCTTTTTGCTCTGGTCTCCTTTTAATTGCCTCCTGCATCATCTTGTTCAAAGGAAGGGACTGTGGAGGGCCTCCCCTGTGGCAGTCTGATCCCAGCTCCATTCCTCTTCCAGAGAATGTCATGGTAACCGCCAGCCTGTCCCTTTGAGCCACATCTTGTACTGCAGCTGTGCTTCCGCCTGGAGAAACCTTCTCTTTTCACCGCCCCACTCCCCTTCTGGATCTATTTCAGTAGCAAATTTAACTTACAATCTGAATATGGGGAAAATTCAAGAGCATAAGTCCTAAATACAAAATCCAAATAACATCAGACTCA